TTGTCACTGCACCCTGTTTCTAGTGACTCCCTGTAAGTGACCAGTCTCTTTCATTCTGGTTTGTCTTGTCTGTTTCTTCTGGCAAAAATAAACGGACATATGTGCATTTTCTCATTTCATCTTTTTAATTATATGGCACACTACATATTTTATTTGCATTTTCCTTTTTAACCTCAACAATATGTGAGGATTACTTTTATCTGGTGAATGTGGACAGTAAATATAGTTAGTCTTGATAATATTTGTTTTCTACTTCCCTGAATTATTAAAATTACTTAATTACACTTAAAAAAATAATTGCTTGGTTCTCAATTCATATTGGCTTTAGATAAAACACTTATTTTGATAGGGGAAAAAGTTTAAAGTAAAAAGAAGCAATTTAGAAGATAAATTTGCAAGATAAAATAAGAAAATATGACTCTTGAGAAACTCTTAATGTTTCATTTTATTTTTAGGTTTACTATATAAAAAAACTAGATAAGATAGCATAACATGCCACAACTAGATGTGGGAAGGAGACAGAACTGACAGAGTAGTTGGGTATTTTCTCCAAGGCTACGATGAGAAATATCTGGGATCTTGTGAAAGAGAGAAAGGGATGGTAGATCAAAGAAAAGAGGTGGAAAGTTAAGACAGAAAACAGCCTCCAGAGATGAAAAAAAATTTTTTTTTTTTTTATGAAAGAAGGAAGTGGGTGCTATCAGGAGATGGTCAAAGGGTTTCTTGCCAGGTAAACATTTGAGGTCATTTTACATACTAGTTAACCGATTTACATTTAACCTGCTACTTAAAAAATAAAAGCTGTTGTTATAAATGAAATACATGACATGAGACCTACCCTCTTAATAATTTTTTAAGACTATAGTGTAGCTTGTTAACTACAAGTAGAATATTAGTAGATTACTAGAACTTTTTCATTTTGTTTGATATGACTCAATATTTAAAAAAAGTTTCCTCAAGATTTAATTGATGAAGCAGTTTTCTTTTCCAGATGCCAACAGCTTTCTTTTAACTTTTTTCTTTCAAAACAGGAAAGGTCATAGTGTTTTAATTTTTTCATTGCCCTTTCTTTGCCCAGTACCCCCCCCCTTTTTTGTGTTAGTGGTTACATTAAAAAAAGATCTCTTGATTTGGAGCCTGGAGCCAGAATATATAAAGCAGACTTTTGTAAGGTATTCTGTCCCTAAGATTGTTACCTCTTTTTGAACAGTTGCATTTAAAAATAAGTTATTTTAAATGAATTGAGAAGGCTGGTATGTAAAGAATTTCTGGTATAAAATCTTTTGTAAAATCATGAAAGACTCATTAAATTGTATTTAGTGAAAGTTGCTTTTTAAATGCATTTTATTAGATATTTAAAATAATTCACACATTCTCTTATTAGTGAGTCTATTTTTAAGTCCCACTTTAAAGAAAAAGATTAGTTTTTATCAGAAATTAGTAGTTACTGACCGCTTTGAGACTTTTTTTTGCAACTATCTGCCAAAGTATTTCTGCTCTTCAATAGTCGGTCTGCAAAAGTGTTTCAAGTGCCATTTCTCCTAACACTTTTATTCCAAGCCTTCTCATGTTTCCAGGGCATTTAAACATTTTATTTATTTATGCATAAAAGAACTGGGGTATAGGCAGAGTTATAGGGGTGGGGGACCTGCGGTGAGAGGATTCACCGGAGACAGAATAGGGAGCAGAATAGGTGGAACTACTGAAATACACTGCTGAAGGGAGCAGTGGGCAAGACAGGAGAGGTCTGCTGTGCCATGTAGGTCAGCTCCCTGGCCAATGATTAAACTCAGGCCCTCACGGTGACAGCGCTAAAATTAAACCCTAGGCCACCATGGAGCCCTCTATATGCATTTCTTCATTTTTAACTCAAAGAAAAGGTGTTTCATATATTTAAAAAGCCTATTTCTGTATTGATGCTCTTTTATAAATTTTTCTTTTTCATTTCTCTTTTATTTAATAACAGAATATTTATTTTACACCTCAGGACTTATTTATCCATGTTTTAAAATATAAATCATTGTCTGTTTAATGAATTATATTTGTTATAGGCTCATCCCAGCCTCATCCCTAGCAAATAATTAGAAATAAATTAATTGGTCTCTAATTTTGCTCATGCATTTTTTTAAAACATTTATTCATTTATTCATACAGAACTGGGGTACAGGCCAGAGATGCGGAGGGTGAGAGGATTCACCATAGACAGAGTGGGAGCAGAACAGGCAGATCAACGAAGTACACTGCTGAGGGGAGCAGCGGGCGGGTCAGGAGAAGTCTGCCTCGCCATGTGGATCTCCTCCAGGGCAGGCGGGTATCGAACTCATGCTGAAGTGACTTAAGCTTCTTAGTGCTGTGCTTTAACCTGCTGCACCACCAGGGAGGGCCTGCTCATTTTGCATTTTTAATAAAGGTTATAGAAAAGTTGGAGAGAAGAACCAAATAAGTGTCTATGTGTGAGTTTGAACATACTTATTTAATGTAACTTTTTTTATTTGTGCTTTGCTTTGGGTGTATTAATCAAGTAACTTGTAATAATCAAGCAAGATACAAAAGCCATAGTTTTATTGAGTGCTAAATCTACACAAAGAGCTGATCTAAGTTACTAAGTGTATGTCTTTTGTGAGGTCATAAGGAAACAACTAATTTTAGCATTTTTCCAAAATTCATTATTAGCAATTTTAGGATAAGAAATATCAGTGATATAAATACATACAATTTCTAGAACAGGGAATACATTGAAAAACAATTGCTAGACCCTTTATTTCTGGCTCAATATTTTTTATTTGGTTAATCTCTTTGCTGATTTGTTCATTGTGTGCAGCAGTTTATTATATGAGATATTCTGTGCTAAGTGATATACTAACACTTGGTGAAACAGACCTAGATGGAATAAATGATGGCTGCAAGATTAGCTTTCCACTTACTATGTCATCTTTACAGCTTCCTCATTTGAGACTTCTGCCCTCTTCTATTTTCTCTGTAAAACAATGCATTTAAAAAACACATCCAAACTAATTGTAAATAGTCCCATAGAGTAACACAGTTGGATTCCAAGTAATCTTTTATTATTGAAAAATGACCCAACACTAAGTATAAATCAAAAGGAAATCATAGAAGAGAAGAGATAGTACTAGGGTATAGTAGATGAAGAAAAGGGCTAGCTCATTGTAAAGGGCCTAGAAAATTACAGGAGGGAAAAGAAAGCTGTCAGATTCAGAAAGAAAAGAAAATCAAAGTGTCTTTAAAAAAATTTTTTTAAGTTACTGAGTTTGGTTTCTGAATTGGTTAAATTTAAGAAATGTTGATTATGTAAAAGCACTGTTGCAGATAAAAATATGACTAAGACATGGCCTCCTGCCCTAAAGGAATCACAGCCCAATAAAAAGTACTGCAACACAGCTACAAATAATGTGGACTATGTGTAAAACACGCAGGAATAATTTAGTTGGTGGGAATAGGTAGGTAATCAGTGAAGTAACTACAGGATACTAGGTATTAAAGGTTTTTAAAAACCATATGAAGCATCTGACTTAAATGTTGATAAATTGTTGATACTAGGTCAGAATCTTGAAGTTTTTTCTGTTTGTTTTTCTTTTAAAATTAAATTTATTTATAGATATATTTTAATTGAGGTAATATTGGGATATTCCCATCAGGCATTACCACCATAGTGCACCTACCACCAACTCACCCACACTCCACCACCAGAGACCATTGTGCTTCTTTCCCTCTTTGTTCTCACTGCTCCTTCCCTGGTGCTTCAGTTCTCTAGTCAGCCATCAAGGGTTGGTTTTCAAGCTTGTCTTTATCTGACTGCTAGTTTAGGTACTTTATATTGCACATGTTAGTGAAACCATCTGGTATCTCTCTCCTACCTCCTGACTAAGCATCATCCCTTCAAGTTCCACCCACTACCCAGCCCACACCCCATTTGGTCAGATCTCAGAAGCTAAGAAGGGTAGAAGCTAAGAGGGTCTGGCCTGGTTAGTACGTGGATGGGAGAGTGTGGACAAGTCTTAAGTGTGAATTCAAACAAAATAAATCAGAGGGGAATTTAATTAGGTAGTTACATTATTATTTTACTGTGAAAATACTAATGATCATTCAAAACCACATCACTCTTTTTTGGCTTCCTGTAGCACTTACTGTATGCACACTTGATTTGTCTCCTTGATGTCTCATATAGTTTCTTATGTCCTTTAAAGATGTCAGTTGTTTACTTTTTGCCTTCCTATGGATAAACTTTTTGTTTACCTGGCATCTAGCCTTATAAGGTAAGTCTTTTAAAATTTGGGATTATCAACTGTTCAACAGGAGGCCTTTAGACAGAGCTGACTCTAGTGCCATTGACCTACATAAGCAAACCAAAATCTAAACCTATAAATGTCTAAAGGTTAGGATATTGAAACCTAAGGACAACCAGTTACAAACAGCTGAGTAGGCTAAAGCTATAGTCGGTCAATAATCTCCTTACTTCTTTGTTGTTTTCCTTATGAAAGTCTCTGCATCTCTTATCTGTGGAGTGCTTCTAACTACTGGTTTGGTGCTATCTGCTTTGAAGAGATTTTTCTACAAATTGAAAAGTCTTACTATTTCAGTTTATGTTTTAACGCCATTTAGCTATTTTGGTTGTTCTCTTTTACACATTTTCCAGCTTTTCTACAGTCTTTTAAAAAAAATGCAGAGTGCAAAAGTTTGCTTACGTACAAGGTTTTCTTGACATTTCTCTTTACCCCCCTTTGGCCATATCCCAGCAGAGTTTGATTGTCCTTCTAAACTATCATAGCATAGTATACATACTCTATTATACTACTTTAACATTTAGTTTTTGTATCTGTTATCCAAATACACTTGTGTGCTCATTTACGGTAAGAGTAATTATATTGTTTGCCTTTGTGTTGCCAGTGCCTAGTTCTGTTGTCTAGTTGTAGATGAGCAACTGATGTTATTTGATTGAATTAACTCTGTGAAACAAACTTTGTAAGTATAATTTCTTTCAGGTAAATTTCATCTGATTTCTAAGTTAGGAAGAGTGGAAAAAAGTGTAGAAGCTCACTGTGGTGCTGTCCTTGCAGGAAGATGGAATTATGAAGGGACAGCTTTGGTTACTGGTAAGTTGTCTTTAGTAACAACACTTTTAGAGAATTAAAAAAAAAATTTGCAAAGAAACAATATTTTTATTTACAATAGTGTCTTTTACTGTCTAATAGCAAATAATTGGCACAGTAGCAACAGACTGCTAATATTTTAATTCAGAACGTCACATTGGCTATTAATTTTCTTATGTGATGTATAGAGAATGTTCTATCAAAGAAGACTTTTGGAATGATTAAGTATGGGGTAAATGAAAATTGTAATTCTTTTTTTTCAAGTATCTACAAAATCTGCACCCATCTTACCAACTTAGCAACATGTTGCCTCCCCCCCCCACTTGATCTCTCCTTTCTCACTGTCTCTGCAGTTTTCTTCCCATCCTTAGTCCCTAACTCCCTCCCTGCTTACCCCCCTACCTACTTACCTTCCTACCTTCCTTTTATTTTTTCCTAGGAGAATCAATATAAGAAGGAATTCAATAGAATTCATCATAGAACATATATGTCCCAAAATGAAGTATTTATTTTCTCAGTAGTATTTTGTCATTCCTTCCCACCACCATCCCTTATTTTCCATAATTTGTTTCTTTCCCCTCCCCTTCTTACCCTCAGATCTTTCAGTGTGTATTAATAATCACTGGTTTTTAAAAGTGTTTTTACATTATTGAATTGTCTGATGTGTTAACGTTTGTTTTCATTATTCTAACTTGCTTTACCATATATAATCTCTCAAGCTCTCCCCATTTTGTTGAAAATAGTTGCATTTCATCCTTTCTTATGGCTCCATAGTATGGCTATAGCACATCTTCTTGATCTAGTCACCTGTCAATAGGCATTTAGGCTGCTTCCATGCCCTGGCTTTTTAAATTAAGCTGCTGTGAAAACTGTGGAAAATAGGGATTTTTGTACGGATGGCTTCGTTTTCTTTGCATAGATGTCTAGGAGTACCAAGGCTACCAATATGTATGGTATTTCCATTTTTAGTTTTTTAGGTATATCCAAATTGCTTTCCATATTGGTTGTACCAGTTGCACCAGTTTACATTCTTACCAACAGTGTAATAGGGTTCCTTTTTCTCCACATCCTCTTCAACATTTGCTGTTGGGTGTCTTTTTAACGTGTCATTCTTAGAAGATAATACCTCGCTGTGGTTTTAATCTGCAACTTATTGGAAGTGATGGTGAACATTTCTTCATATTTATTGGCTATTTACATCGCCTCCTTGGTGAATTATCTATTCATATCTGCTTCTCATAAAAGTTGTAATTCTTTAAACTTTTAAATTAAAAAATACTCATTTAACTTGACCTTCACTCCTTTCCATCTCTTGCCTGTCTTCTAACTTTTTCTGTGGACTCCCATCTTTAGGTATTTATGTTGGCTATCTATTGTTGAATAACAAATTGCCCTAAAAGTTACTGTTGTAAGATAAGAAGGGTGTTTGTTCCATATTTTCTGTGGGACAGGGTACAGTTTAGGTGTTTGGTCTGATTCCAACTTATAGCCAAGAAGCTTCATGGGACCAAAATCATGTGAGGCCGTGGTTGAAGCTACAGGTTCTGCTTCTAAGATGCCCATAATGTGGGTAAATAGTCTTAGTTCCTCTTTGACTGCTAGCAGGCCTTATTAGGTCACTTATAGTCACTATATAAGCCTGTTCTGCTTGAATGTTCTAACAGCATGCAAGCTGGCTTCCCTCAAATGAGTGATGCAAGAGGGTAGCCACAGTATATTTTATGATCCACCTATTTCTACCACACTCTGTTAGGCACATGTCGTGAAGAATAGTGTACACTGAAGGTGAGAGAAATTAAACTATCTCTTGAAAGGAGGAATAACAAAGAGTTTGTGGGTATGTTTTAAAACCACTTACTACCTGGTCCTTCTATAGAACTTTACTTAGTCTTTTCTCTTGCTTTTGTCTTCAATCTCTCCTTTTCCAGCGGTTTCTTTTCACCTCTAAAATTGAGAAGAATCAAATAAAAATCCCTCTTTTAAAAAGATAACTTTCTAGGTACTACTTCTGTTCTTTCCCTTTCAGACAAGCTGTTCAAAAAAGTAGTCTACTATTCACTCAATCCAGTCCTAGCTCACTAATATTTGACACCAACTCTTACTATAATGAAAGCACCTTTCTTTCAATTCTATGATGTAGATTTCATTGACATTAAAAGTGTCATTTGAATAATAGACTCAGAGATCTTCTATAATTAAAGAAACAAAAATTTTTTTTCCCATGGAAGTTAGGCTATTTGAATTATTTCAAATTAATTTCAATTATATTTTATAATTATGAAACACTGTCAGAATAAAATTGTTTGAATTTTAAATATGCATTAATATAGTTACTATTGATTTTTATATACAAATTTAATGTTTGTTTTCTGAAAGTAAAAATATAAATTATTATTTTCTCTTTACAGTCGGAGAAGATGGGCAAGTAAAAATTTGGTCAAAGACTGGAATGCTAAGATCAACTTTAGCTCAACAAGGTATGTATTATAATCATAAAAATATCTTAACATTTTCCCTTAAAAACAGTCTGACATATTTCCTAAGACTGATTTTGGTTATGTTTAAATCCTGAAATGACTTAATTGCTATTTAAAGTTTTTCCTTTTCCTTTTCATGTGGCCTGATGCACCATAGTAGCTATATTATTTGAATCAAGATATATAAGAGATACTCAAAGATTTTTTCTTGGTTAATGAATCTATAAAATGCAGTTATTGGTTCATGGTTCTTTAAAAACTGATTCTGAAGCATTTGGGGGCATATCTACTCTAACATAGGATTGGATGTCTAGTTAACTAGATAATGATAATAGAAAATACTCAAGTATCTCTTAGATACAACGTTCTTTTGGCTCCAGTGCTAACATCCTTTCCACATTACTATGTATATTTGATTTCTTTATAAATGGAGGGAAGCAGGCACCCTGATGATCTAAAACTTGGTAAACTATAAGCACAAAGAGTTGTGTTTCAGTTTCCATGTTAACTGGAAAGAGCACTCACAAAGCCAATCTAGTGGTCATTCCTTTGGGATCTAGGTTGATGTGATTTTTTTTCCCTATGTGCAATTTATTTTCATAATTAGCTTTTACCTACAAATAACAAAATAGTTTTAATGTTGACTTGAGCACATATCAATTGATCTTAGAGACAGGTTACCAAAGTGTCTACAGGCTGTTCTTTAGAAGTCATATGATGAAGCACCTCCAACAACAGATTTCGAAAAATTTCCAGATTTAATTTTTAAAATCATGTTTACTGTTAGGATAATTTTATTAAAAAGTTTATTTTTACATCATTTTGCACATTTTTTTTTCATCTCAATTGTAATCCCCACGGGTTTCCCATCACCAAATCACCCCTGTGCCA